GGGGGAGGGGGAGGGGGAGGAGGACGACGAAAGGGAGAGGAAAGAGGAGGAGGAGGAGGAGGAGGAGGAGGGGAGGAGGAGGAGGAAGAGGAGGAGGAGGAGGAGGAGGAGGAGGGAGGGGAGGAGGAAGGCGGAGGAGAGGAGGAGGAGGAGGAGGAGGAGGAGGAGGAGGAGAGGAGGAGGGATGGGGAGGAGGAGGAGGAGGAGGAGGAGGAGGAGGAGGAGGAGGAGGGGCAGGAGGAGGAGGATGAGGAGGGGGAGGAACAGGGGGAGACCAGGTCATCGTCTTGTCGTTATTGTGTCATGCGTGCTGCCCATCTCCACTACCTCACACACTTGCTCAGCGCTGGTTCGCACACCCTCCGCGCGTGTCTTGATTTTGTCTGGCATCAGCAAGCGGGGTGGGTCATGTTCATGAAAAGAGATGTTAGCCAGCGTGGGCCCCAAACAATAGGTTATTGCAGTCTACGCGGTGCAGTCCGCGTGGTGCAATGTATGCGATGCAACCTATGTAATGCAATTGACTACCCTGCACCGCGCCTGACCACCTCCACTGCTCGCGCAAACATCCCACCCACCCACCCGCAACTTGGTCGCAAGACTTCTTAAGACAAGACCGTGACGGTAGGTATCACATGGCACTTGGCCACGACACCGACGCGGACGACGACAGCGACAACGACGACGACGGCGCCGCCGACACCGACTACGACGACACCGCCGAAGTCGACGTCGACGAAGACGACGACGACGCCGACGCCGACGACGACGACGACGAAGACGACGACGACGACGTCGCCAACGAAGACGACGACGAGGGAGGAGGGAGGACGACGACGGCGACAACGACGACAACGACGATGGATGAGGGAAGACGGCGACGACGCGAACGACGAAGAAGGAAGGACGGCGACGCCGACGACAACAACGACGAGGGAGGAGGGAAAACGACGACGACAACGACGACGAAGACCACGACGACGGCGCCGAATTAGGAGGGACGACGACGAGACGCCGACGACGGACGACGACGACGACGAGGGAGGAGGATAACGACGAGGGAGGAGTGAAGACGACGACGACGACGACGACGACGACGGCGACGAAATAGGAGGGAAAACGACGAAACGCCGACGAAGACGACGAGGGAAGAAAGACGACCACGGCGACAAAGACGACGGAAGCGACGACGACGCCAAGACGACGACGACGACGACGACGACGAGGAAAGACAGAAGACAACGACGGCGACGACGACGAAGACGACGACGCCGACGAGGGAAGAGGGAGGACGACGACGACGACGACGCAAGAGCGCGCGCGCACGCTTTTATTGAAAATCCGTGTTGCGAGACCTTGTGTTTTTGTAGGTTTTTTGGAGACACGATTTTGAAATCCTTCCGAAACCAATGTGTTTTGAAGGTTTCCGGCATGCGCGCGCGACGACGCGCGCGTCTGCACTTCGTCCCGTTTTTTGCAGAGGATTCTCGCGACGGCACACGCGCAAGGACGTTCGACAGATTTCGAATTTCGCAAGAGCTCGCGCGGAAGCTTTTTTAGCAAATCAGTGTTGCGAAACCCTGTGGTTGTGTATGTTTTTTGGAAACTCGATTGCGAAATCCTTCCGGCACCGAAAGTTTTTGAAGGATTTCGACATGCGCGCGCGACAACGCGCGCGTGTGCGCTTCGTCCCGTTTTTTGCAAAGAATTCGTGAAAAAGTGCTATGTTAGAACAAAAAAGTCACCGCATAGTGTTTGTTTATACCATGGAACCTCAGGGGGGGGGATACCGGGTTGGCTGGGATGATATGATTTCATATTTAGGATGGACGACTGTGCATAATATATATATATATATATACATACATACATACATATTTTATATATATATATATATATATATATATATATATACATACATACATACATACATACATACATACCTAATCAACACATATGAAATTATACTACCCCAAGGGGAAACTTTAGGCCGGGGGGGGCGGGGTAGAGTCTGTTCTCTTTTTAGAAAGGAGATCTACGCGGTGCAAGCCATGTGGTGCAACGCACGTGGGGAATTACCTTGTCGAACTTGAAGCTGTCGACTCCAATGCTCGCGCAATCATCCCACCCACCCACCCGCAACTGGGTTTGCAAAACCCATGCGGAAGCGATTGCGATGACTGCATGGTGTTGGCTGGTGCATTTCTGCGGCCGCACTGACCCGCGCATGTTCGCGCGCGCAGCGGCAAGCTAGTATGGCGCGACCGACGCGGCCGCGGTGGCGCTGACCGCTGGGCACATCCCAGCGGGCACTTCAATGCGAGTCGGCGAATTGGGCGGTCGCAGTATCATGGCAACGTCGACAACACGATGATCATAGTAGCGATGCTGGTGGCGATGCTGACAGCGACGACGGGGCAGTGACGGCGCCGACGCTGATAACGCCGACGACGATGACGGCGTCTTCGCGTCGGTGATGAAGATTTCGGAACGAGTTCGGCATGCGCGCGCGTCAGACGCGCGAGTGGCCCGCATGGTATTACTTGACGAGGGTCGTTTCACCCCAGCACGCGCGCAAGGACGTTCGAACGATTTCGACATGCGCGCGCGAAGCCTGTTTGGTAGCATGTTATGAGTATGTTGAAAAACCGACGGTTTTCTTCAGAATTCGCACGACCCGCGCGCAATATTGTTGGAATCCCGTGTTGCAAAGCCATGTGTTTTCGTATGGCTTTGGGACACTCGATTTGAAACCCTTCCGAAACCGAAGGCTGTTGAATCCTGACGAAGGCAGCTGCGCCGGCCGAGGCTGCGCCGGCCGAGGCCGGCGGCGGGAGGCGTGGGCCGCGGAGGCCGCCGAGCGTCGTGGTGCCGATCGCGGGGCGCAGCAGGCGCAGCAGGACCAGCAGCCAGACCGCAGACTGCCCGAGGCAGCGGCCGCACCCGCGCAGCGCGCCTCCGCGGGCGGCCCCTTGGGCCCGACCGACCTCGATGTTATACCTCGGTTCCAATGCATCCCCCCCCCCCCCCCGCGACGCGACGCCGAGGCCCGGGCCGCGGCGCGCGGCGCGCGCGCGAAAGGCGGCTCGACGCGCGCGCCTCCGCGCGGGCGGCCCCTGCGCGGCGGGGGGGGGGGCGCAGCTACCTGAGATGACAGCGCGTAACGGACCAGCCTCGCCAGCTGGTGCTCCCCGCGCCGGGGCTGTCAGCGGCGGCCTGCTTCCAGCGGGCCTGGGGGGGGGCGCACCGCCCACGAGACCACGTCTGCAGCGGCGCAGCAGCCCCTGACGACCACCAAGTCGTCCTGTGTACGGGGGGACGCCCAGCCAACGCGGCGAACTGACATCATGGACATCCAGCAAAGGGCCTCCGCACGTCGGGCCTTCAGGCCCTCTTCTCTGTGCTCGACGCCATCGAAACAATCGACGCCATGGGCGGCCAGGTCACTGTGCGATGCTCGTCCGCCGAACCCGCCCAGAGGACAGTAGACCGCCCTCACGGCGCCAAATTGTGGAACCAGGTGTTCAATGTCACCATTACTTTTTTGGTTCGCGGCTCCAAGGCGGATGACAGGGAGCAAACACAGCGTCCGGGGCGCGTGACGATGTAAATTGTCCACTGAGGCGAATGCGCGTGCAAGGGACAAAATGACCCTCATTAAGACGCAAGCTGCGTCGGCAGGAGACCGACCCAGACATCCAACAGGTGGGGACGCAAATGTCACCATCACGCGCCACTACGAAGAACAGGCCGCAAGGGCCGACCAGGAGCCAGACGGCGCCAAGCTGCCTGAGACAGCACCAGGGCAACCCATGGCGCAGCAGCTCATGGGGACTGCGAGGTCGTCCCGCGCAGGAGGAAGGCGCAAAGTGACCTGGGCCCGCTGAGCGCGGCGAGGACCAGCCCAGCGACCAGACCAGACCAAGTACGTAAGCCCCGAAGAGAGCCCACAGGAGGAGAAGGCTGAGCTGGGTGAGCACACGAGGGCGGCCGACAAGCTGGGTTGAATGCCAAAACGGGAACACGAAAACCAACATCGGAACCCAGAGTGAGCCATGCCGGGTAAAAACACCTGAACACGAGGACGAGAACCAGAACAACTGGACCAAAACCAGAACACAACATTGTCCACACCGGAATCGATTTGGGCCGGTTCAGGAACAACCGCACAACGAAGGAACAGAGGAGGAGGAGGAGGAGGAGGCTGAGGAGAAGGAGGAAACGGACAGCGGAAGGACTAGGGAGGCTCGAGATGGCGGAGGAGAGTGAGGAGGTGAGGTGAGTTTCCAGACGTGAAGAATGGGGAAGGGGGAGGGGGGAAAGAGGAAGACCAAGACCAGGACGCTCAGGATGGGCGGGGAGAATGAGGAGGCGGAGGGGTAGGAGGACGAGGGGAACGAGGGAGGAGAGGGGAAACAACCGAAAGAACGCTGAGGCGCGGAGACGTAGATCTTTCTACTCGACTTGCCGCAGAACAACGCATGAGGACACGAGAAAATATAGCGCGCCGCTGCTTCATCCAAAAGTGCTGCCCTTCCTCCCGTCCCCCCTCCTTTTCCTCCCCGCGAGGCGCAGCCGCTGGAAGGCATCCCGAGCCTGGAGAACCGCAGAGAACCGACGAGAACGCCCGCGAACCTCAGACCCCGAACCTCGAACCGAACACCCCGAAGCCCACTCCCCCTCACGCTGCCCCTGACTTCGTCGCCCCTCTCCGGGCACCACCTCCGAGCCGCCCACCTCCCGCGCACGCCTCCCCGGGCCCCGCCGCCCCGAAGGCCTCGGCGGCCTCGTGCGCCGCTGCCCCCGGCCCGCCCGGCGCAGCCTCCGCCGCTGCCGCCGTTCCCGCACGCCGCCGCGGCTGCTGCAGCCGCCGCCGCCGCCGCCACGGCTGCTGCAGTCGCCGTCGTCGTCGTCGTCGTCGTCGTCGTCGTCCTCGTCGTCGTCGTGGTCGTCGTCGTCGTCGCCGTCGCCGTCGCCGCCGCTGGCGACCAGGGCGAGGCCTCGGCACCACTCCGCGGCACCGCCCCCGGCTGCGCGGCCGGTGCGGTGCGGGTACGGCCGCCCTGCTCGGCGCCGGCCCTCCACCTGGCACCGGCGGCGAGGACGGCAAGGACGACGACGACGACGACGACGACGACGACGACGACGACGACGACGACGACGACGAGGGCAGCGGCGACGACGAGGAAAACGACGACGACGAGAACGACGACGACGACGACGACGACGACGACGACGACGACGACGACGACGACGACGACGACGACGACAGCGGCGAGAACGAGAACGACGACGACGATGACGACGACGAGGGCAGAGGCGACGACGACGACGACGACGACGAGGGCAGCCGCGACGGCGACAACGACGACGACGACGACGACGAGGGCAGCGGCGACGACGGCGAGGAGCTCAAGGACGACGAGGACGTCGACGACGACGATGACTGACGAGGGAGGGAGGGCGAGCGACGCACAAGGAGGAGGAGCGAGGGGGGGGAGGCAGAGGAGGAGGAGGAGGACAAGAGTAAACGAGAGATGCATAAGCGATACTGCATACACCCTCCAGTGCCAAGTCTTTGAAGCGCTCCCCTTGAAAGACCAGCACAGTTGGGCCTGTCAGTTTGGCGAGGGCTGCACTTGAAAAGGAACTGCCTTGCACGTTGGTGGCGCGCAGTCAGGAAAGCGAAAAACAATGACCATACCTTTGCGACCACCCTTCGGGTGACAAGGAGGCTGTGGGGGGGGTCCAACCGACGACAACTGCGATGGTTGTTATGGTATCGATGCTGGTGAAGCTGTCGCGAGCTGATGGCAATGAATGATGACGATGCCGATGCATGATGACGGTTGTGGTGATGACAACGCATGACGATGTGACGAAAATCGGTTTATCGATCAAAAGATTGATCTCACCATCGGTCATCCCATCAATCCATCAGTCTCACAGCCAATCGGTCCCACTATCCGTCTCACAGTCGATCCCACTAATCGCCGACCCCCTGGGATTCATCGGCGTGTGAAATGCTTCTCCCTCCCCAACCCCTTCCTCAGGGCCCTGTACGATCGATTTGGAGGGGGGGGGTCCCCCAGGGCCCAGTCGAACGCATCACGGGGGGACAGGGTTCCAAAACGGGCCCAGAGGGCCCAAAGAAGTCCCCCGGACGGTCCAAGAGGGCCACGACTCGCCGAAAGATCGAACCAAACGCCCACGCTGGCCTCCAGACAGCCTAAGAGGCCCCCAAGACTCCTCAAGAAGCGGCCTGAGGCGTCCTAAGAAGGCCTCCAGAAGCAAGAATCGTCGAATTACCTTTGGGAAGCGTACATGATCGGCACAGCCGTTTCTTGGGCGCTCACAACGTCCAAGACGGCCCAAGATGCCATCAAGATCGCGCCAAGAAGGGCGAGGAGTGCCCCAAGAGGGCCCCAGGAGGGCCCCAAGACGGCGCAAGGAAGCCTCCAAGACAGGCCTGGAGGGCCCCAGGCCAGCCCCAAGAGGGGGCCCACAGGGGGAACCCGAACGGACATTCCTCAATGTGATTCAACCAATCAAGCGTGCCGCGCGTTGGCCTCCAGACCGCTACTTTCCCCCGCTCTCGGGTGGCTGAGTCTGCAGGCAGGGCGACGACCGCCACCCCAGAATCTCCCGTTCTCCATTTCCAGCCCCTCCCCCCAGTTGCCCCAAGAAGCCCCCAACACGCCCCCAGGGGCCCCCAAGAGGGCCGCAAAGAGCCCCCCAGAGGCCCCCCGGAGGCCCCCAAGGGGTCCAAAACCTACCCCCCCAAGAGGCCCCCGAGACGCCTCCCACGAGACTCCATCAGTCATCCGAATGGCCTCAGACCCGCAACCCAGGAACGGTGGCGGGATGTGCCGTAGCCCATGCGATCCGCCGCCCCCTGTCGATTCATCGCAGGGGCGCCTGGCGCGCTGAATCCTCTCGGTTTTGGTTTTGGCCCCAAACTCAGCCGCAGGCCCATCTGGCCACGGGCTGGGCCCAGTGGGGCCGCAGATCGCGCCACTGGGCCACGCCAGCCAGTGGGCCAGCCGACCTGGCCCCAGATTGTGCCACAGGGCATTTCGCGACGGGGCGCCCAAATCGGCCCCAATCCGGCCACTTGGCGGGCCAATCCGGCCGGAGGCAAAATCAGAGCAGCTGCGTAGGTTGGCCTCCAAAGGTTTCGAGGAAACGGAGCGGCTGTTCCCGGCCGACGCGCCCTGGCGGGACTGAGCTGCACGGCCAGGGCGGCGCGCGAGAAAAAAGGCACATCGTCATCCATCCGCTATCTCATCAAGGCAGGCACTCGCTACGGTTGCTGTCCGGAGCCCCGGTCCAAGAGCACGGCATTGAGTTTCATCGACAGAAGCCGGGCGGCCAGATTTTCGCAAGCACAGTCGCACAGCGACGGCGTCGTCGCGTCGCCTCCGGCAGCTGTCGCGCGCGCCTCGGCGGAGCAGGTCCCAGGCACAGACGTCGCCAACCTACTTACAGCGCTGGCGGAGTCGGGCTTCGTGCACCCATCCGATCTGAGCGACGTGAATGCAGCCGACTTGACGGAGCTTGTCCCAGCTATGGCTTTACGCAGCAGCGGCTCTGTTCACGCCCTGCCGTCGCACTGCCGCGCCGCGGCAGGCCGCGAGCAGGCAGCCCGAGCACGCCAGCAGTGTCGGCGAGGTTGGATCCACAACGCCTTTGGCTGCCGGCGCTGCTGCGCAGGCAGCAGCGGCCGCGACCGACGGCCACGGCGCCGGCGCTCGCGGCGGCGGCCGGTCGGAGCAGGGCCGGGGGGCGCGCGACGCAGGCAGTGGCCGCGCTGCTCTGATCCTGCTCGGAGAGGCCAGGCGCGCCCAGTCTGCTCCTCCGCCCGCTCTGCCGGCGGCGGCATTGACGGCCGCGGCCCGCTGCAGCTGCTTCCCGGGAGCGGCGCCTGCAGGGCGGCCGCGAGACGAAGTCAAGCGAGTTTGGCGAGAACGGGCCCACGGCGAACACCTCAACCTGCACACCTTGTGGGTCGAGTTCGCAGGGTGGCAGAGAAGCGCGCCCCAGTGCGCTTCGGCCGTGCGCTTGTGGGGCGAGGCGGCCGCGTCGATCGAGGCGCCGAGCTGGCCGCCATCTGAGCAGGTTCTCGACGCCTTCGTTGTCCTGTTTCGCAACAGGAACACCTTGCAGAGGCACATATCTCTCGCGCGCAGAGCGCTGCGTTTGTTGCACGACCCGCTCGGCGCGACGGCGGATGCGCAGCGATTGTCCAGGGGGGCCGAAAAGATCCGCGCCACTGCAGAAGAAACCAGACGCATCCGCAAGTGGTGCGCTGAGGCTGGTTACTCGGCACTCGCAGCATCGTGGGCGATCGCTCGCCAGTTCTGCTTCTGGCACTCCGAAGTTTTAAGTTTGGGCACCACCGCAGTGGCGTTTCGTTTCGCTGACGACAAGCGCAGGACGTGCGTCATCCGTTTTGTCCATCGAAAATCGCACGACTAACCCTGCGAGACGGCGAGGCGCTGCATTTGCCACCAGCAGGGCCGCCTCCTCTGCGGCGTCTGCGCCCTGTTTTCGGCGGGAGAAGCGGGGGCGGCCCCTTGTCGAGGGGCGCAGTACGCAGACGCACTCGCCGTGCTCAAATTGGCAGCAGCCGCGCTGCAGTTGCGCAGCGCGCCCGCGTGGGGCACCCACGGCTTCAGGCGGGGCTTCGCAGACGAGGCCCTCCAGCAAGGAGTGCCTGCAGCATTGTTTTTCAGCGGCGGCTGGAAGGGCTCGGCTGCTTTTGGCTATGCCAGCGCCCAGAGCCGGGGGGCGATCGCAGCTGCTGAACGGTTGGTTGATGACTCTGATTCTAGCGACGGCGAACAGGACTGAGCTTGGCATCGCGCGCGTTGGGATGTACAAGAAGGAAAAACAAATCACGATGCGGTGCTGCTGCGCAGGCCGTCGCCCCCAGGTGCACGCGGGAGTCTCGGGGCGAGGCCCAGGAGGCCGCAGCCAGGCAGCGCTTTCCCCGCGCCCCTTGCTGGCGCAAGGGCGCCGGCTTCGAGCCACGCCCGAAGCTCCGCGAAGGCTTTCGGGAGGGCCGCGGGCCTTCGGGCGCCGTTCAGAAGAGCGGGCCAGGCTACCAAATATGATTTCCACGAAGCGTAAACTTGTTTCTGGCGAGGGAAAATCACGCGGAGCAGGCCCGCAGTCGCTCGCCTCACCCCTCCTCCGCACACGCGTCTCGGCGCCTGCTTCGCGGGCGCGCGGTCCACGGCGCGCCGGCCCGCTTGTTCCGGAGCGGCGGAAGTATTTATCGACGCGGCTCCTGCGTCTTCAGGTCGTGCGTCGCGCCGCTCGGCCCAGCTCGTCCGTGAATCCGTGGGATCCTGGCGCCAGTGGCGCGGCAGCGAAAAAGCGTGCCGCGCTCCATGACCGCGGTCGTCTTCTGCTGGGCCTGGCCTTCTGGCCGCAGGGTCCCTTAATACCAACTTGTGTTCGGCCGCGTTCCCTGTGAGACGCCCCGCGCAGGGTCACTGCCTTCTCGCGGGCAAACCCAGGGTCCCTGCCTTGTCGCGGCACACCCAGAGCCCCTCCCTTCTCGCAGACAAATTAAGGCCTCCGTGTTTCTCACTCTCGGGTCGCTGCCTTCTCGCGGGCTCTGCCAAGTTCCGTGTGACATGCCGCGTGCAGGGTCACTGCCTTCTCGCGGGCAAACCTAGGGCCCTGCCTCCTCGCGGGCACACCCAGAGTCCCTGCCTTCTCGCGGGCAAACTCAAGCCTCCGGGTTTCTTACTCTCGGGTCGCTACCTTCTCGCGGACTCTGCGGGGCCCCATGCGAGGGCGCGCGCAGGGTCACTGCCTTCTCGCGGGCAAACCCAGAGCCCCTGCCTTCTCGCGGGCAAACCCAAGCCTGTCGGGCTCCGCTCTCGGGTCCATGCCTTCTCGCGGGCACCAGGGGTCCCTGCGTTCTCGCGGCAAAACCAAGCCGCCTGGGCTTTTCTCTCCCAGGTCGCTGCCTTCCCGCGACGCAACCAGGGTGCCCGCTTCTGGTCGGGTTCCCAGTGTGGTGCGGCGGTTTCCGTGTACACCCTTTTCCTTGCCCGCCCACGCCACCCTGG